ATTATTTACGGTAGCTCGTCAATCCCACAAACATCCATAATTTTTCGGGAACTACATGGTCTAGCGGCCGAATAAGCTCAGATAACTAATACCTTTGTTGAAGTTGCACGATAGTTGTTTACGCTATCAGGACTATGCATGAACAACTATCATGCTTTGGATGTTGAGATATTCTAGCGGTTGCAATTCTTACGTCCATTGTTACGTCTATGGCATTGAAAGAGAAGCACCAACACCCATTATGCACAAACACCGACCATCCCAGAAAGCTCGGAAAGATTAGCGGTCTAAGCAATCTCGATGGCAACGACGAAAAACTAAATGATATTTTGTCGCATCATGATAACAACTTTGCAGTTCTTTTATTTCACGTATAGTCTTATACCTTATTGCGTTATCGTTTTTTGTCCCACCAGTATGTTTCGCTTCAACCCGTACATATTTGAAATCTATCCTGAGGCTTCTGGTACTCGCGCTATAGAATTTGCTGACCTCGATCCAGTCTTTTATCAGCGCTTTCATTGTAACCTACTATCCTATATCGCTGCAACATGCCTCGTAAACCTTATCACTTGTAAGTATGGTTGCTCTGGTGTCAGCGCGAGCGTAACGGAATCGACGATTTTGCGTTTCCGCCTTATCAGCCCTTATCAGTTGTAATCACTTTCAATCACCCACCAACAATGTCCCCGTCCCACCCCACATAACACTTGTAAGTATGGTTGCTCTGGTGTCAACGCGAGCCAGGTAACGGAATCGACGACTTTTGCGTTCTGACGCCCTTATCAGCCCTTATCAGTTGCTATCGCTTTCATCATGTACCACCAATGTCCCGGGACCACCCCACATAACACTTGTAAGTATAGACGCTCTAGTACCAATATGAACGACAAAACGAAATTGGCGATGCTCGCTTTCTAGCCCCTCTTATCAGCTATTATCAGTCGTTATCAGTTCCTATCACGTACCACTTGTGTCCCCATCCCACCCCCTATAACATATGTAAGAACCACTGCGCTATCATTACTGTGACTCGAGCTATGAATTTCCGGTCAAACACACACACACACCAACAGACACACTTAGCCGCTTATATATAGTAGGATGATCTCCAAATTTTTATCAGCAATGCACTTTTACACCAGGGTACAAATATATAAGCGAATTGGAAAGAAAAAATTTTGAAGATTTTATGATTTTTTTCTAAAATCATAGCGTCCCAAAAGTATAGGGACACTCGGTTCTTCAGCAGTGTTTCTGACTTAGGTGAGTTGTGAAACCAATTTGTCACTGCTCTACTTCCCACACTTGTTCTACAGTGCCATGCCACGAGGAATGCACCTACACGACTTTGAGAAAGGCCAAATTCGGGTTACAAGGATATGGGACTCAGCCACCGCAGCATTTCAAGGAAATTAGGACGATCAGTCAACTTGGTGAGCAAATTCTGCAACAACATCGACTCCTACGGTACGAAAAAAGGAGCGGGAGACCTAGGAAAGTTTTGGAAAGGTAGAAGCGCTGAATTCCCGCATCCAATTCCATAAAGGGTGTTAGCGGCTGAGCAAGGAAGTAGCACCCGATTTGTGGAGAAGTGCTGGTCAACGTGTGCTCAAATCATGTCCCCACATCGTTCAAAGGCAGTTTTTGACAGTGCCATGTTTGACGAGTGCGTATGAGAAGCACGAGTCTTTTTCGCAAGGAACACGTAAGCTGGACTCATCAATGGGATGAGGTACTTTGCACTGGCGGATTCCGCATGTAATATCATACACTGTAGTGCTCCAGGTGAATTTTTCCGATGAAAAGAAGTCTAATTTGAATGGACCCGATGGCCTGGCAAGCTATTGGCGCGATTTGAGGAAGGAGCCACACTACTTTTCCAGACGCGGATTCGGTGGCGGTAATGTCACGGTTTGAGCTGCCTTCACAGCACTTCGTAAGAGTGAACTGGTTTTTGTCACGCAACGCTTGAACTCCAGTGGCTACAGGACCATCCCCAAAACAATTCGGTACCATACATGCAGCGATTTCCACCCTTTAAGTTCAAATTCCAACAAGACAACGCCGCCGTTCATGTGAGTGTCTCAACAATGGAGTGGTTCCAAGAGAGAAACAATAATATCCTGACTGGAATCCGATAGAGAACCTCTGGGGCATACTCACACGGGACTTTTACGCCAACTGCAGACAGTTTGAACGAAAAACAGCTGAAAAACGCCGTCAATGAGGCTTGAGAGCAGATATCGCCGGAAACGATTTCAAGGTTTGCCCAAGAGCATGCCGAAGCGGATGATTCAAGTTATCGAAAGAAGAAGAAATGTTACTACTTTTTAATCATTATTGTTATTATTGATTTCATTAAGTATATCGTTCGGGAAGTTTGAACGCCGAAGTGTCCCTATACTTTTGGGACGCCATGATTTTAGAAAAAAATTATAAAAAATCTACAAGATTTTTCTTCCAATTTCTTTATATATTTGTACCGTGGTGTAATGATGCATTGTTGACAAAAATTTGGAGAGAAATCATTCGCCCATTATAGAGATATTGATGTACTTGCCCTGAGACGCAGGTGGATTCAGGGGATGGACTCCCTGTTTCTGTAGCGCTGTGTTGATTCATACCAGCTGTCTCCACTCAGGCGCATCCATGCATGCTTGCGTGTGTGGTGCGCTCTGTGTGTGTGCGGTTGGTATCCTGCATGTCGGCACAGCCAAAAGCTTGCATTCAAGTGACTGGGAAGTACATGGGAGGCGATTCGGGGCCGCCTCCAAGAAATAAGCCCCTTGTTCCGCTCCAGGATAGCGTGGCTAACTACCTGGAGGTCTATCCTAGCCCGCACGACAGAGCCTGGCAAGCTACTCGTGTGCCTTCAATATGCCGAAAACAGCAATATGGATGGGCCTCATTCCCCTGAACCTGAGGGAGCCCCCAATACGGCAGCGTTGGGTAGGACCGCTCGGGAGAGGCTGCTAGAATCTCAGGGCCCGGATAGGCTGCCTAAACGAAGAAGGACTAAGATGGCGATCTGTACTTTCAACGCACGAACGCTTGCATCCGAAGCTCACATCGAAGATCTGATGATGCAGGCCAGGAAGATCAAGTACGACGTCATCGGACTGACCGAGACGAGAAGGCACCGCCCGCTACACGCCGTTTTCGATACTGGAGAAGAACTGTTCCTTGGAACATGCGACAGCAGAGGCGTTGGCGGTGTGGGTGTCCTCGTCAACACGCACTTGGCCATAAACATCGATTCGTACGAAAGCCTTACGACCCGAATCGGACGTTTGAGGTTGAGAAGATGTGGTTCAACTCCTGCTTTGACAATCTTCGTCGCCTACGCACCAACATCGAGCTACGACGAGGAGGAACACGAAGCATTTTATATGGAATTGGAGAAGTTCTACAAGGAAGATCATACCTTCTTCAAGGTCATCGTCGGCGACTTCAACGCCAAGATTGGCCCGAGAAGAACGGCTGAAGAACTTCACATCGGTACTCACGGAATGGATTGGAATGAGCAGGGCGAAAGACTGTCTGAGTTTATCATGTCGACCAATACCATCCATGGTAACTCGCAGTTCCAGAAGCCCTCTCACCTTCGCTGGACTTGGGAGTCACCTGATGGACAGTTCCATAATGAGATAGACCACATCATCTTCAATCGAAGGTT